TGAGGTAAATTGATATTTCTACTAAATGGGGGAGGAAAGGGCAATAAGGTCATTGGACGTGGTAGGGGAACCACAGTTGATATCTCAAATTGTTATCTTAAGTTCTTTCTATGTATTTACGATAGATACCATGAGAAACGACTTGAAGATTCCACTTCTGAGGTCATGTAGCAAGCATTATATATTGTTGTAGCAATCATGGGGAAGCAAGATCGTGGAGGACCAGGTGTCTCACAGGAAGATTGAGTCCCAGTTTCCAGCTAGGGGATGTGGGTGCTGCTTGTTTAGATGAATTTCACCTTGCATTGGACCCCCTAATGTGCTGTCAAGGAAGGCACCAGAAGATGCCAAAATATGACTTTAAGAAGAGCTCTTACATCTTACCCATCACTAGAGCTTCACCAGAGCATGATCTTGAACCTCCCACTGGGGGTGAGTGTTTAGGCCACAACTTCTGTTTTCACTTCATCCTGATAGATATGTAGTTCTCAAAGAACTTTACATTAAAAGAGATTGATCCATTAGAGAATTGGGAAAAGCCATTTCCATATGCATTTATTTTGGCTCCTGTGCCAGGAAATAATGAGAAGGAAGGTGGTGGTTAGAACAAATAACCACGGAAGAGTATACAGAATGAGAAGAGAGCAGGACCAAGGCTAGAATGCCAGTGCCAATAATGTTTAAAAGGAAGGAAGATCCAGAGGGTCCATGAGGGGAATCCAGAAATGGAGAAAGAGAGCTAGAACAGAAGACCTGCCACCAAAGTCAGAGGACATGTTTTGAGGAGGAAGTGACCAACAGTATCAAATGCCTCAGACAAGTCAAGCAAGAAGATTGCAGGTTTAATTATTGACTTAATAAGGGCAGCGTCAACAGAACGGTGATGTTGAGAATAACATTGTTTAGGAGTGAAGGGAAGGGAAGGAAATGATAAGTGTAAATCAATATTTCCCAAAGCATGTTCTTTACTATAATTGCCCTAAGCACTATACCTTGGGAAGCGTGGTTCTCTCTGATTTTGAATGTCTTAGGTCATAGCAGATATTAAAATGTTGGCTTTCTCATATGGCCACTTTTGTGAGTTCTTCAAAGACCACTGCCCCATTACTGGGACCTCCTTATATATCCTGTTATGAGTCATGACTCCTTTGGCTGGTCACTTTCAATTCTTTCTCAGCCTCGATGATGAATCCAGCTTCTGATAATCCACTCCACATTGATTCTGTTTATGGGGATCACCTCACTATCCCAGATTGGGAGTGAACTCTTGGGTGAGGTCCCAAGTTCAGCCCTTTTCCGTAGGTACAGACGCGGCCCATGAATGGCATACACCTGTCTCTGCTGATAGCGGCTCCTGTCAGAGGATTCTTTCCTTGTTCCACGGTCAGGGGAAGTTCCAGCCAGCCTTCAGGCTTTTCCACACAAAATCTAGACAGAGTTAGAGCTGCAGTCACATGGTCTGAACAATCAGTCAGGACTCCTGTTTCAGTAGAAGAGAGAGGGCTCTCGATGGGGAAACCGGAAGCAAATTTTCAAACTGATGAGATTTTGTGACAGATGTGTGTGTGTGTGTGTGTGTGTGTGTCAAACTTGAACGAAATTGTTAACCCTAGTTAAGATGACAGGAGATGTGCATATGTGTATGGCTCAATCAAATTGTTAACTAAGACATTTGTGGCGACAACATCTTTTGATAATTTCCTTTTTGTTCCCAATCGACCAAATAATTTATCCTAGTCATATACAAACGATGCTGGCTTTTGTGGTGGTGTTTCCGTAGTCAGAGAAGTGGCAGCCTGGAATTTAGATATAGACTCTCGTGTGGTGGCTATCCACAATAACTGTGTGGCATGTTCTGTATCTTTGGATTTTTAATCATCCTAGTATTAATCGTGGCATTTATTTGCTTGTTGCTCCTGTGCCCTAAAGACTGCACTTCTCTGAATGATCAGCATGTGAAGTTTCTACCTCAAATCACAATGGAGGAGTACAAATCTTATGAGAAGTATGTGCTATTAGAGTTTATATATTTTTTTTTCAGTACAGATACTTACCAAAATATATCTTTTATTGGCCCAAGGCATTTGAAAAGTATTTTATGGTTTATCACCACACGCTAACCCCATTTTCTCTATTCCTTTTAAAAGTCTGACATCTTCTTGCCCCAACTTTTACATCAAATTTATGCGTGTGTGCTCACCCACCTGTACTTTTATTCTCTGTTTTGAGATTTCAGAGGGTTTTCTGGGTTCAGGAGTTGAAAAGTTGTGGGAGCGTCTCGGTCGCCTGCAGTGTGCGGAGGATCCCTCCTGCAGAATTCCTCTGCGCCTCGTCCCTCATCTTCTGCTCGCCTCCCCAGCAGCCTGTAGGTGCCATGATGGAGCACCGCTCATCCTGAACCTCGTATTCTGCTGATATGCTTACCCAACCCCACCCCGACTATAGCTTTCTGAGGACAGCGAGTCCACCTTATTAATTTTTGTACTCCCTGAGCCAAGTGCAGTGCCTGGCACCTAGTAGCTGTTCACTGGGTGCTTGCCAGATGACTGGATTCACTTTGGTGGCCCAGTGTCAGGGCTTAGACTGGGAAGACTCTCAAAGCTAAGGACCTCCTGGGATTTTCACTCACATATTATTGCAGACGCGGAGTGTGGTGTTTGAGCGTGGGGAGGGAGGGGGTATTGAGTTTCAGAAGGGAGTAAGGAGAGACCTCAAGAGCGAAGAGAATAAAATTCCTTGGCCTTCTTTATAAATTTCTTGGCCTTCTTCATAACTGAGAGAGATATGAACTTTCTCTCTACTCTGAACTCCCTTTGCACTTGCTGCCTGTACCACTCATTTTAGCACTTCATTAGCATGTTGCCTTAAAGTTGCCCAGGATCATAGAGGGGTCTAATCTGCATAGTTACCTCAGGAATTCTGTGATGCTGTAACAGGTTACATGGGGTTCCGTTTTCATGAAGTTTCCTAAGTCACTGTGGAACAACCGTGATGGGAGCTTTGGAGAACCCTGAGAAAGAAGATGAGGACAAAGTCTGCCCTCCATGCCCTTGGGAAGGTGTCTCAGGAAGTCAGAAAATTTATCCTGATGTGGGAAAAGTCAGAGGACTGTGCTGGACCTCAGATCCCAGGGTGAGGAGCAGATGAGCAAGTTTCTGGTGGATTCCTCTGGGATTTGAGCATCTCTTCTCCACCTGGCTCATCTCAGAGATCAGTGGAGTTGCAGACATTTAGAAGTTGGCCTAGGCTGCCAGAACCATTCCCCTGGTGGGAAGATTTCCTTTTCACTTGGGGAAGGAGGCACAGGCACCCTCAGCAGAAATGGAACAGGGCTCTAGTGGGGAGAGGCAGAGGTGTGGGTGGTGTGGGTGAGGGCCAGGGCCTTGGTAAAGGGAGGCTGAGACCTGTAGACCAGCGCGCTTCTCTTACTACTTTCATTAAGTTGCTCTGACACACAAAGGGAGGTGGACACAGTAAGGCCCTGTTTAACCCACAGGCCACCAGTGATGACGCTAATGCATTTTGAGCCAAGAGAATTCTTGGTGTAGGCTTGAGTCAACTCCCTCAGTCTGAAAAGGACTGAGAAATTAAGGTGACAGTTCTTATTTAACCAATTCCTTTCATAAGTCTGCAAACCATAAAGTACCCTGCAAAACATGTATTTTAGTGAAGTCATCCTAGCCCAAATTCCAAGCCTCAGCTTTTATCTGTTGTTTTGTTGTTGTTGATAATGTTATCATCATTATCTTCCTCGGGCTTTCTCTGAACAAGTGACTCCACCACCTGAATTTTTAAAAACCCCAATACAACTGATAGATATTAAACAGTTATGTCTTTTAACCAACACATATAATTAAACTTACAAAACATTCCCTCATCTCAGTTTGCCAAGACAGTTGCTGTGATGCAAATTATTGCCCGGCATATCCTCTGTCTATTTCCCTCCAGAAGCTTATTTTGCTTGTTTTGCCTGATGCTGCATTTCTCTTTCCTTTAGCTTCCCACATCCATGGCAGGGAGCAGGGCATGTATAATTTTGTGGTGATCTGCTGCTTTTGATTATCTGCACCATTGCTTTCCAACATCAGCATGTGCAATCAAGTGCCGATTTTTTATTTGTCCACTGTGCATCCTCAATTAAGTTCACAAAGGGCAAAGGCTCTATCTGGTCTGCTGAGTGCCTAGAATGGTGCTGAGCAAACTGTGGGTGCCCTCTACATGCTAATTGGATGCCAGATTGAACACCAGATGGTACCTCTTTGATTTGGCTCCTCTCAGGTCTACTTAACCACAATTCACATCCACTGGGATTTAGATCCCATTTTATACCCCCACATTCTTCTGATTTTGTTGTGAAGAATGTGCTGGAACAGCTCTCGACTATAATCCACATTAATATTAAGAGCATCTAACGGTGGACAGAGATAGAACTGAGCTAGAACTTTCCATCCCAGGCACTGGGACTATTCAAGTGTGTTAGTCAATTTCCCCTCTCACTTGTGACTATAATGCCTAAAAGTTCCCCTACTAGAGTGTCATTCCATTTATTTCTCTTCCCTTCAAGAACGGTAATGTCTTAAATGTAAATGCCCCTAGATAGGTAACACAGTAAGTAGTTATTAGCCCCTTGGTGTAAATAAGCTTAAGTACCACATTAAATTGGGATGGCTAAGATGAGAACTTAGGTAGACATTAAATGTTTGTTTAAAAATCTACAGCCAAAGGACCCATTCTACATGAGGTGGAGGCCAAGAGAAACAAAGGCCGCTCAAGGTGGAAGGTTAGGAACTAACACAGCCCGTGCTTTAACTAAAGGCTGGTCAGTGCATGAGAGCACCTGAGGTTAGCAGGCTCCAACTTAAAAAGTAAAAATGGGGAACAGAAATCAACGGTAGTTTTCAGTTACCATCTTAAGGGGAGCCATAACTATAGCCTCGAGCCAATGCTATAGAAACTTTGAAAGATTTCTTAAGATTTGCAACTTCACTGTGTTTATTGTCAGTTATTTTTTGGCTGTTTTTATTCTTTAGTTCTTAAAAGTAAACCCTTGAAACCAAAAGGGACTTTATGGTCATCTTGGGGAAAACAAGGAAGAGGACAGAGCTCAGCAGACCGACTCCCACATGACCGCCAGACCTTTGGGAGAAAAACCACATAGATGATCCGTAAACTGAGAAGAACAGAAAGGGCGGCAAAGGAAGCGGGCATACGCCAAAGCAAAGACTCAGGGCTTAGCAAGAGACGCACCCATTTGGAGGCAGAAACCAAAGCTTGCTTCAGTCACCAGAGTCTAGATCATTGTCATGTTGGGCAGAGGCAACTGGCGTGAACAGCGGGGAGGTCTAGGCTGGGAGAAAGGGCAGAGAGGAGAGCTAGCCAGGAAGTAGGGGAGGCATCACCTCCCGTGCTGTTCTGTCAAGGCTGGCCTCCAACCAAGCCCAAAGGAATCACCTTCCATGAGGGCCAGGGGCCTCCCGGGTGGGAAGACTGCTCTTGGTTTCAATTCCAGGCATGTACTTTTCTTCTTGAAGTGAGTTTAGATCACGTTTCAGCCAGTGTCCTCCTGCAGAAAAAGGTCTTTGTGTTAAAAATAAAGTTCACTGGAGACACACTTGATATTTCCAGTGGCATTTCTACCTGTCCAGCTCAGGGAGGTCTTAGTTCCATTGTCTGTCCCTGCTTACCACACTCCCTCATGCAATTCAAGTGGCTGGATTTAATCTATAAAGTTTTAGCAGTGCGGAGCGTAATTGTTTCCCAGGTCACCCCTGACGCTGTGCATCCCCAGCTGGATGGAGCCACTTTCCTGGTGCTGATTTGAACTTGAGAAGAACTTGAGAGCTGGAGTGTTTGTGATGTGGGGTAAAAGAACGCTGGTGGGAGTTGGGGAGGGTGTGAAGAGGTATCTTTTAAGCCCCTTTTCTTTCCCATGTGTTGTGCTGCAAACACACTGCTTGTTCTCAGGCAGTGAGGTTAGAAACGTGGGATCCCAATTTATCTGCTTCGCTCTAGGATTCATGACGAGGTTTCTTTAAAAAGAAATCTTCTCCTAAACAAAGTAAAAATATGGCTTGGTTGCCTCAAATCAGACTTATATGTAACTGATTAGATACATATTTTTCATCTTTCTGTTGGTTGGCATGAATGTTCTGTGGCGACTTTTGATAAATATGGTCCCCTTTTAACCCAGGTTGGGTGGGTATTCCAGGCTTCCATGTTGAAACAAAATGATATCCAATAATAACTTTAAAGATGCATACTTTCCAAAATTTGCAGTGGACTTTGGATTTTTATAAAATGTGATTTTTAGTAGAGATTATAAAAATAAATGTGAGTGCAGTGAATGTCATTCATAGAATGACGTTCTTTTAAAATTGAATGATGCTACAACGTTCTGCCTTACTTTTCCTGGGGGTGTCTCGTGAAAGTGGCTCATACATGGCCGCCCTTGGTTGGATTGAGGGTGAATTTGGACATGGTATGGACCCCGTGAAGGATACAGATGCTCAATTGCTCTACCCCTTGGCATATGAACTGAAACCTTGTGAGATCTGCCTCAAATGGTAGCAAACTAATTAAATGGAGAGGCAAAGTTATAAAATAAATGCAGGTACAAGCAGGCTATGCGTAGGAGGGAGCGGGGGAGCCCTGCGGAGGGGTAGAGAGACAGTTAGGCCAATTTAGCAGAGATGGCGCCACAGCAAATTTGATGAAGGCACTCTCAGGAGTAATTGTCAGTGTCACTTTTGAACCCTCTGGAAAAATAACCTGAAGCACCAAGAGAAATGAATTTTCCCTCAAGTCACTAAGTGAAGAAGTCCTCAAAATGATGATTTTATTCCTCACAGCAGAAGAGAGAAAGAACAGGAAAGAAAGAAGTGGTTTTGCTTTCTTTGGCTTGGAATTTTGAATAATGAGGGCCACAGGTGGGAAGGGTTAGCAACTGGGTACAGGGGCTGGACAGAAGAAGGAACTCAGATGGGTCGCTATCTGGGGTGATCTCGCTCTCATTTTCTACATGAGTGAGAATACCGCACGGGACCATCAATCACAGTCACAAGTACCTCACAACGCCACCTTTCCCAGCTGCTCCTCTCTTCTCCTCTCTGCCAGCCTCCTCCATCCTTGAAAAACGGGTGTATTATGTGTGACTAGAGATCTGAACTGCTCCTCTGCTGCTGTGTCGTTTACTTTTTGTTGCACTGTTGTTTTCTTTCTATGAGTCCTATGTCGTAGCTCCTCTGGGTATGACTTCTTCTTTCTCTCAAATTTTAACGTGTAGAATTCTTGCAGACTCACTTAGCAAAGGTGTATTGAGCAAGAACTATACGGTCCTATTAAAACCTGCTTATAAATCCTTCTCCCTGAGGTTTAAATGGCCACTTGCTTGAAGTGCCACCTCTTCTTGAAGACATCTGCATTTTCAGAGAATCTGAGGACGTAAGTTATGGATGGCAAGTTACATTATAGTCTGAGAGAAGAGAGATTTCCAGGGGGGATTTTTTGCTGGGGAGGGCACTCGAGATGAGGATCCTGCCCTGGCTTCTGATAGTGGCAGGAGGGGGAAAGACACGTGGTCCCCTTTCTCCAGAGGGGTGACCTCTGCCAGCTCCCTAGGGGAGAAGTGGGGCATAATGAGGGAGCACTATGGCAGGAAAAGCAGATAACTTGTCTAAGATGGACTGTTTGGAGTTTTTCTTTTTAAATCATTGCTTCCTTGGTCCATCCCCGTCCATCTCCCCGATCTTAAACTTCAGTTTCTGGCAGGTTAATCAGGAGGCTGTAGCTAGATCATCTATTGTCCGGGCGACGCTGGCCACCCTCAGACGCACTGCACGGCGTGCGAGCTCTTTGGCAACACTCGTTACTTTCTGCCCAGGCTGCCGCACCCGAGATCCGCAGCTGCCGGTTACCGTGAACGCCTCCCTTTGGTTTTGTTTTCAGAATGTCACAGTGACCAGCTTGCAGGTGGCATCCTGCTATAGATGCTGGCACAGATTTTCCATCATTATGCTGCCTTACTGATTTTTTCCATTATTTGTTGCCAATAATAGTCACTCTGATCATCTTCTCCCCCCTCCTCATTCCTTTCTCTGTGCATTGGGCCCCTTCTGAATCACTCAGGCTCAGGAATCAGAGAAAGAAGCATGCCATTTAAGGCCTATCGTAGGATTTCTAGGTTTCTTTGGACTCAAATTCTTCATGGGCAACCTGAGCACTGTGGGTCTTGCTGATTCCTTCCTCACTCTGTCCCCAAGCTCATGTCCGCACCCTATTCTTCCCTGCTTTATGCCAAACACAGACATGATTTTCTAGTCCTTTTTCTTTGTTGAATCTGCTAAATGTGAAAATCAGATGGATCCCGCCAATGTCAGGCCTTGGTTTGTAACACTCGGGGAACCACCAACCTCTGAACAGTCCATGGTTCTTACCTATGTTGCTGTAATTCATCAGGAACAAGCTGATATCATGTTGAAATAAATGAGTTTTGCAGGTGCTGCAAACAGCATTTGTTGTCTGTCTGTGGGAATATGAGAGTGGGGTGAAGGTGAGAAGGATCTGTTCACATTTCAGGAGTCTTGGTACTCTGTGAGGAATGGATACGATTTCCTAGGAGAAATAGCCCAATACAATAAGCTCTTCAAAAGTCCAGAGAAGACCCTCTGGAGCCATGTAGAAAGGGTGTTGCTTCTGTTGCAGGGCAGTGAAATGTCAATGGAACAGTGAGGAGGCAATGGACAAGCAGAAAAAGAGATCAGCTCCATATTTAACAGCTGTGTCAGAGTTTGCTTTGTGGAGTGCTCATTCTAGCACCTAAAGATGATGAATACAGCTAACATTTACTGGGCACTTATTTTGTACCAGGCAGTGTTCCAAGTATTATACATGCTTTGTTTCATTTAATCCTCATAGCCATGCCACAGTGAAAATATTCGTATCACCTCCATTTGAAGATGGGAAGTCCCTTATCTAAAGTTATACAGCTAGTGAGCGTTGAAAACAAACGTTGAACCCAGACAGTCTGGTTCCAGACTTTCACTTTTAACCTATGCTAATTCCATTTATGACAATACTTCTCTCTCGGTGCCTTTTGTAATACCAGCACACAGTATGCTCAATGCATATTGGCTGAAAGAAAATATTTGCTCAAGAAAAAAAGAAAAGCAATTCAATCTCATCAGAGGAAGGGGTGAAGGGTGCAGGATGCTGTCAGCAGTGACTTTGTGTCCCTAGGACTGCATCTCAACTGGGGTGTGTGCGAGGGGCGAGGATTTTACAGGGCACTGTGGAAGGGGTCAAGGTCTACCCTCCATGTCCCAACGGGTCAAAAATCTCAGAGTTAGGACATAGCTTCTCCACTCTGGCCTCTGCAAACTCTTTACCACTGTCCCTGAGCCCGCCGTGCATAATCAGCCCTCCACACACTGGCTTTTGTCTGCATTGCTTGGAATGCGCTCTCCTTTTACTCCACAGGACAAACTTTCAGTCATTATTTAAAGATCACCACTTCTCTGTCATTTTCTCTGACCTTCAGTTCACTTTCTTGATTTAGAAGTAGCTGTCCTTTCACATGTCAATTTCTGTCATTTGTGTCCAACCTTAACATGTTGGACTATACCCTATTTTTTTACCATCTGTTTCCCCCACTCAATCCCAGCTCTTTGCAGGCAGACTCCTGTTTCGTTCACCTGTGTATCCATGATACCAAGCATACTTGTAATAATAAGCCTAGCAGCAGATGCATACTGGGTGCTCATTGATACGTACTGTACCGAATTGGGTCTCCTTCCTGCTGCACTTTGCTCTGGTGTTCCCAAAGCTTGGTGGGCCTGCACAGGTGCTCAGGGCTACAACAGTTGCAGCAAACGGGTTACCTGTACGTCTCATGATAACTGGCCATCAGCCACTTCCTCCAGGGGAGGGCCAACTTGATTTAAAGGTGCAGGATTGAGGAAGAACATGTCATGAACTTGACTAAAGGATTCTCTTAACCAGTGTCAGTCCGTTGAACTGTCCCTTCAATTTTAACTGTTCCGTCAGCCAAACAGCTTACTCAGCTTTTCAGAGGCCTATTACTTGATCTGAAAACATTGGCAACATTTTGGCCTGCAGTCTGACTTGAAGCCTGTTATAGATAATGAGTTTTCTCTGGAATAGGTGGCACATCTTGGTTGTATTGGAGAAACATCAGGTACGTCTATGTCTTGGCTAGTATCAGCCAGAGTTGGGAGTATGCCAGCTTTCGCTTCATTGCTAACATACTCCTTAATTAACCTGCTAAATCTAGTGCACGATTCACTGTTGTTTTAGAAACGAGGTGCATAATATGCACACTTTTTCCTCTACTCCACTTGTTTTTTTATTTGTTCAGGTTATTAGAAAGTGGTGTTCTCTTGGGTTGTGCATTAAACCTCAAAAGAAACGAGGATTTGAGAAACACTAAATGGGGCTTGGTTTCTCTTGATAAGACTTGGTGTTGCTGCATTTACCCCTTGATAACTGAGTTCCTCTTCCCCCTAATATTTAAATACATCAACTCACTTAATCTAAAGTGTCTTCTTTCCTTGTCATGTCTCCATTCTCATAAACTACTTTTTGTAAAATGAAAGGCTGGAGAAGGCCCTTTGGGGAGTTTTCTTTTCACGGAGGTCTGTACCTTGAGAGTGGAGGCTGTGCCTTTCCATGCTTCGCTGCCTCTGCATATGCAAGCCCTTGTTTGTCAGGCCTGAAATAAATGTGATACCTGTGTTTTTACCTCATGCTTTACACATAGTGCCCCAAATTGCTACTCCTCGGGAGACTAAGCCAAGGACGTCGTGCCCCATTTTCATGATGAAATGCAGATTTGCCACTGAACCTAATCAACCTTCATTTCAAAAGGTTGACAAGGTGGGTACTTAAAGAATTCAACTGGTTAAATTTATGGTACTGCAAAAAGTCCATTCCAAGAGTATTCTCTGATTCTAAAGCTATAGAATTTTTATTTGATTGTGAATTAAGTTACATTTTCATTCACTTCAAGTCCTCGTTTCTTGATTTTGTGTCCCTCAAAAAGAAACAAACTTATTGACAGTCCCATTGGTCTCGGTAACATTCTGTCCCAGATTGAAAAGATCTACAGTCTTTCAGTCATGCTTTCCTCAGATGATTTTTTATACCAGTTGATAGATGTGATATTTTTGCATGATACAGCATGGTATCTTTCTAGTCGGGAAGGAGAACTAACATACTTTGAGTTACTAACTGTGTGCCGAGACTGTGTTAGATTTCAGCATGTGCTGAATCATTTTCCAGCAATTCTGTGGGTGCATGCTATTATCCTCATTTCACAAATAAATGTGTCTGCACTCAGATGCTTTTAAGGTTTTTGCCTAAAACACAGAGATACTAAGGAGAAGAGTCAGCATTCAAACCTAGGCTTCTGTTTCTCCAAAGCAGTTTCTTTTTCTTCATTCCACCAAACTCTTCCTTGAAAATCCTCATTAAGGTAGGCAGGCCAACAGCACTTAGAATATCAAAAGAGACAAAACTTTTGCCTGCTTGACCCGGATGTGAACTCAGAATCCCTCTCAATGTAGCCTCTAAGTGGCCCCTACCAACCAATTAGTGTTTGTATGCAGGTTGGAAGTTATTTGCCATCCCTGTCTCTCAAGTTCTCTCCAAAGCCTGCGGATGTGGACTTTACTGCTAGACCATTAGGGTTATAGCTGTAACCCACTCTGCTGGAGAAGCAGCTCCAATGAAGAGGGAATGCGAATGCGGGGGCCTGGGGATGAAGCCCCACTGACCTGGAGAAGCAAGGTGGGTGTCAGCAGAAAGCATTCATGACACAAATAAGTGACACACACACAAATTGTTTTGTTTGTCATTCAGTCAATTGTGACTTCCTTCTGGCCAGAGGTTCACTAACTTCGGAATTAGCCCAGAAGGTGTATCAACTGGATTTCTCTCCCAGTGTCATTCACTCATTCGGGGTACTTGAAGCATACTATATAATCATGTACCTGAATGACTCATATATGGTTACACCCTTTTTCTCAAGTAGTTTGCCTGTTCTTCTTAGCATCATTGTGTATTTGCCTACCCAGCCAGGATCCATTTTGTCTTTTCTAGATCACATCAGCATCCTCTGATCACTTCTCTCTCTAGCAACTTGAGCATCCTTGTCATACATCTTGTGCATCAGGCCTTCGCCAGCATGGAAGGTTTGTGCAGGAGTCAGGATATCCTAGACTATGGGTGGCATACATGGCTTGAATCCCAAGGTCAAACAGCATGGCTTGTAGATAACATGAATAGTAAAATATGCATGCCTTTCTCCTTCGCACACAATTTTAGAACACTTGACAAACTATATCTGTAAAACAAGATGGTTTGTTTTCCATCTATGACTCAGCTTGCTCCTAGGCAGGGTTAATATTGTCAGCAGTAAGGCCGTGGTTTCTCTGAAGTCTGGGATAGACTTGGTTACTTGAAGTTGAGGGGACAGCTTTGGAGCCAAACAGAATTGCTTTGGGTAATGGAGGAAAAAGATAATTGAAGTTTCTGGGGCAAGGAAAGATCCAGGAGTAAGTGACAGGCAAAAGGGCAATTGTGCAATTATATACAGAGAAGCCCCCAGTACTGGCATGGCTGGGAAGGGAATTTGAGGTATAGACATGTTCTAATGGGAACATTTAAGAAGTTTCTGGTGGGATATCATATGTAAGGTGAAAGTCCTACTCCATCACTTGTTGATGCCAGCCCCTATTTTAAGGTGATTGGATTCCCTTGGAATTTGAAGAGGTGTTAAGTTTTACACCCAGGATAAGGCAGAAACAGAGGGAGCAGGTTTGTGTGTCGGAGCATAGGGATTGGAGTGGGGGGTGGGGCTCAGATGATCTAAGAGAGACGTTTTAGAGTCTGCCTGGGATTATTGGAGTCAAAGTTAGCTACACCCTTTAGCACAGTCTCTGCCCACCTTGAGTTCCTCATCTGAAGCAAAGAACACAGAAAATGAGTTGAACTGTTTTCTCAAGGTTGGTATAACTGCTGTCATTCTAGATGCACTGAAGTGGAGCTAAGTTGTTTCATACCATGGATGCTTTAGTTCAAGAGGTGACAAACTGCTACAACTGGGGGCCAAATCCAGCCCATTGCCTGTTTTATGAATAAAGTTTTATTGCAACACAGCCACTCCCATCTGTTTACGGGAGTTGCACATGGCAATGTTCGTGCTATAACCGTGGAGCTGAGTAGTTGGAACAGAGAATGTGTGGCTTGCTGTTGTATATTCTTTTAAGAGATGATCAGTCAGGTGTGGCCACAAGAGCACACAGAGAAGAGGCTCAGGAAAACAAAGTTGACAATACTCACATGTCCTAGATAAGGAGGCACCGCATGTGCACAGGCACAGCCACTAGGGACAGACAGCAGGGTGGTCAGGAGGCAGAAGACAGGAGTGAGAGGAATGCTTAAGTCATGGCCTTTATTGGGGTTTCCACTAGAAAAGCAAAGCAGGGCAGAATGAAGAGTTTAGACTTGACTAGTTGGAACAATTTCAGAGGGCTTTGGGCTGCTGGGGTGGTTCCTAATGGTCTGGTTCCTGGCCCTGGGATGATTAAGGCAGAGGCATATTGCTTCCTGGGGTGCACCAGGCAGATAAAGGAGGTATGGCTCTGGAGTGCTTAGTTTACATATCAAAAGTACCTTCCAGCCTGAGCCCTTTGCTTTCTCTAGGAATTGGCTAGCCCTGAGGGGAGTAGTCTCTCCCCAGCCAGAATTTTTCTTTTGGGGGGTGAGGAAGATTGGCCCTAAGCCAACATCAGTTTTCAATCTTCCTCTTTTTGCTTGAGGAAGACTCCCTGAGCTAACATCTGTGCTAATCCTCCTCTGTTTTGTAGGTGGGACACCGCCATGCTTGGCTTGATAAGCGGTATGTAGGTCCACGCATGGGATCCCTAGGCTGCTGAAGTGGAGCACATGAACTCAATGACTATGCCACCAGGCCGGTCCCTAGAAACGTTTTTTAAGATGCCAAGACATCATAATATGCAGAAAATTAAAAATACGTGCAATATGCCCACAAAGCCTAAAATACGTTCTATCTGGCTCTTTAATAAAGTTTGCCAATGTCTGCTTTAGGGCCGTAGATCTTCATCAGGTCTTAACTTTTTAGGGAGCCATGGTTGAGAAGGCTGACCTAGTATATCTAGTAGCATCTTAGATTAAGTAAACAACTTGGAATTGAGCCAGGAACTTGTCCTAACGAGGAGTACCAGACTTTCACATACGCACGACCGGGGAGTATGACTGGCTGTGCTCGTGATGCCAGCCTTTGCCAAAGACTATAGCTGAGACTTAGTCATTTCTAAAGGAATCCAGACTAAAGAGAGGGAAACCTCCAGGTTTCAGCTTTGCCAGGATGCCTGTCCATGCTTGCTGTGGCCTATGAATTCAAACCCAGCTGTGAGAAATGCTGACCTGAAGGACACTACCGTGGCCGTGGGTTCATCAGAGCTGAGGGGAAACTCAGATATACATGCAGTCACCTTTTTTAGAAAGACAGGGTTCTTCTTCTAAATGTAGACGTATGCAGTGGTGGCAGCTCCAAGCATCCGTTTAATGTGAGACCTCCTTTTTATCCACTTTGCTTATTCAAAACCTCTTCATTTGCCTTTTCCCATTGGAGCCCTTGTACTCAGCCCCTGAGAACCAAGTTGGGTGTGAGCTCTAGTTAGAGACATAATCTCTTTGGGGCTTCATATGCAGATACTTATCAGTCTTGTGCCTCAATGGCCCCACCATTGCCTTTTCCTTTGGCATTGTCTAATCCTAAGAAATGTGTCTTTTAAGAAGGTTTTCATCCTCGCCCTGACATCCCTT